CAGAGGAGTCCCCTTCCAAACCACCTGAACGATCTGTCTGACACGTAATGGAGTTCAATAAGTATGTGTTGAATGAATGGACAGAGTCACATCTCACTCTGTGAACAGTGCCGAACCACTGCCTCTGCCCTTTTATGCTCTTTTCTAGACACTTTCCTTGAATCTGCCAAATGCTTCCGGGGTATGCCAGAGGAGGGCACAGCTCAGGAACACACCACGGGAAGGGCGCCCAGAGCCCTTGCTTCGGGTGATTCTTTTAAAAGATTGAAAAACTGTGACATTTTCATGGGGATAAATGCATTTTTTCCCATTTTACCTAAAATGCATGAATATTAAGGGTTTTCTTGAAGATGAACAGAATACTTTTTAGAATGGGGAAATCAAATGTGAGTGCCAAGTTTGCATTTGATAATGGAAGTTTTTTTAAACTTTAGGGAAAAGTCAAATGGAGTTCAATGAGCCCATTTGGAGTTCATCAATGATGACCCATTACGCAATTTTTCTCTGATTCTGTTTATCACTGTGAAGTTGGAAATAGGCTCAAGAATTAAAAAAAAAGTGATTGAAACTTTCACAGTTTGAATTCTAGGAAAATTTCCCCCCAAATTACATTATTCTTTTTCCTTATTTCTGTTTTCCTAACAACCTGAGCATATACTTTGTTATAACCTAAGATGTCCAAGAATAAGAATAGGAGACACTTGTAAAATGTTTTATTTTAAATGATAAGAATGACTCTTTTCATTATTCAAATTAAAGAAAGCAAGATGTTGATGTTATTTTCATGAATTTACTGTGTCTTTGTGGCAAATCATGCTGAAATCTTTGTATTTTTGTCCCCAACGTTTTATTTATTGATTGCAGAAATTCACCTGTTTTAACATGGAATTGATGGTAACTGGAAAAACTGATATTAATTCTGTTATCTGTTGGTTGGCTTTAGTTCCCTAAACAAAGGCTACTTAAAATCCCTGTTATTGATTAAGTCCAGATGGAATTCACTTCTTCTGATACACAGAACACGGGCAGATTTGTCAGGCTGTGTTATTCCTCATCGAAATGAGCTCCTTTAGCCTTCTAATTATATTGTCTAATAAAACTAAACAGTCAATGCTATTTGCATATTATATGAAGAAGTGTCATACAACAAACTCATAGCAGTCAATTAACATAAAAGCTAATTATATATCTCATCATCTTACAAGTTTCTGAATTCACGCTTCCCCTGTTGTAGCCTAGAGCAAAGGAGGCTTGAGTTTTCACTTCTAAATATTGACTTTTAACTAATATCAGAAGTGATTGCAATATTTTTATGGATGAAGAGTTAGTGATGAAGCTAGATGCAATATTTGCTATAATGCAATTAACATTTCTCCATTAACTAAACCTCTACAAAGAGAATCTCTGCAACAATACGAAATCAATTATCAGTCACTAAGCAGGTTAAGTACTGGTTTCATATCTGAGGAAAAAGATAAGTGAGATTTATTTGAGATTGCCAGACTGGTATGCAAAAGACAGAGCCACCACAAGGACGTTTCCGCGTCCAATTGTACACTGTAACGTAATTGTATTCCTGCCTAATTGTGATAGCTATCAAGCAAGAAATTCGCTACAAGATGAACAGAGACACAGTAATGAACGCTCAGGCGAGGCTCTCTGTAGCCGACTGTCAGGAAGGTGTGTCTGAATAAACCCCTCTCTCCAGCTTTCTAGAGAACCCAGAGCCAAAACTTCCAGCTACTTTTTTCCCCCCCGCTTTCAAGTATGGGTACGTCCTTCCACCCCCATTTCATTGCTTGCAGAACAAGCACATGGTCAGAAGAAGCCTGAAGGAAAGCAGAAACAGACACTATGTATACCAAGCAGGATTCAGAGTTGTAGGTAGGTTTCGGAACGCCAAAGTTAGGCTCTACTTCGTGTACAATGAAGTCATAACGGATCGCTTCTGGATGTATAACTCAAACCAATGAGCGCATGTAGAAAAGTAAGGGTGATAAGAAAACTGCCAGTGAATCGGGTTTTCTCGGGATACAATGATGGCGGCCGTTGCCATTCATATTGTAATGAGGCCGGTATCTCAGAGACAGTCCTTCCAGGGTGGAGACAACCCTCCCCTAAGATTACAATAGGAGTTGCTTTATTGACAAGTACTATTCAAAACCTTCATAGTACAGAAAGAAAGACTTCGTTTTATTCCACTTGTCTCAATACTTACTGCACTCTTATAATCAAAACACTTTGAGGGGAGAAAAGGGCCCAATTATTCTATGAACAGTCTTTAAATTTCCCCAAGGCGGTTCGACTAAGTGGACTCATTTCAAACTCCAATCGTGTGTGCGTTTTAACAAACGTGGGAAGAGCTGCGATGCTTAAGCATCTTTTTCTTTAGCGTTTTCTCATAAAATTGGATGCTTTGATTGAGATTTTTAAAATCTATTTTTTTAAAATCTTCTAAAAACAGCCTCCAGTAATCTCCCGTTGGGTGTTTTTCCTTTCTTGTTTTTAGTGGTGATCGTAATGAAGCATTTTCTGAGCTATCTACTGGCAAACATTTTCTACTATTCGAGAATGCTTACACAAAAGAGCCAGCTAATGACATTTTTAAAAGCCCGCTCGCCTTCAGACTCATAAAACCAACAAAATTCACGTGTTGATCTCTTGCTACAACATATTTGTGTTAAAATAGGCCCCATACTCGTATATTCAAACATGTAAATTTACACCTCAAAATTGAAAAAAAAAAATCCCGTTTTGTGTCAAGTTTTAATGTGGGGACTGTTTTAAAAATCCCCAGCCCTGGAAACAAACAAAAAGCCTCTCAAAAGTCAGTTGTGGCGGCCTTGCACTCATTAGCCTCTGATCTGCTCACATCTGAGATGCTCGGGGATTTCTGCACCCAGCTCAGGACGTCAGGCCAATTTTGAAAAACATTTTCGAGAGTGGTCTCAAGTCAACGTGAAATACTGGGATGTATTAGGATGGCGCTGAGGGTTCCCCAAGCTCTTCCAGGCTCAGACCCCTGCCCTCCTGAGATTACCACCCCCACCCTGTTTACTTTTCCGATTGGGGAAGGAGGGGGGAGGGAGAGGAGGGAGAATGGGTGTCTCCGTCGTCGGAGTCAGATTTTTTAGGTGAGTCTGCTCATCACTGGGAAGTAAAATGCTGTTTTGCTGACATGGACAAAGTACCCCGAACGGATCTCAAACGTATCAGCGAAGGAGATACACTGAAGGCACACACCTGGCAGGAAAAAACCCTCATAATTCTGCTAATGATCTGCTTGATTAACTGTAATTAAGAATTTACCTCTGTGTTTTACAACTTGCAGACCCAATACAAATTTAATCCCTAGCTCCTGTAAGTTAATAAAACAGATTTTCGGTTTGCTTGTTAACCCATGTATTATCCGGTGTTGTTGTTGTTGTTGTTGTTTTACAACTTACAGTGCTCGATTGGCATCATTAAAAGTGTACGTTAAACGCAATTTGTATTGGGAATGCACTTTAAGCCGCTTCCTTTAGGGTCTTTTGACTGAGACATTAAACACACACATACACACTCGGGAGTTTTTAAAAACTTGATGGCTTAGTGAACGAATAAATGTGGTGGCACATTCCAGTTTAATAAACGATCTAACTGCGAAAAGTGAGTGCATGGGCCTCGAAAGAATCAACCTCAAATCAAGTTTCGGGAGATGGGGGGGCGTCATTACCGTGCACATGGTGGGGCAGCGGGAAGTTAATCAGTGGTGTTTTCCTTGGGCTTTTTCCTCGTCCCCGTTTCTCTAAGCCCGTTTTTCAGAGTCCACTCCTCCCTGGAGTGGGGGCTGACGGCGGTGACAGCGGAGCGGCCTCCCCGGGAGCGGCGGTCCGAAGGCGCAGGCAGGGCCACCGCGCCGGGCGCTGCGCTCGCCCGGGAACCCGCGGCCAGATGGCGGGAGGCGCGGGGACCCTTTGTGCGCCCGGAGCGCGCGCCTCAAAGCCGCGCGGTCGCCGGCACCGGAAGGGTTCACACTGCGTCTGAAAGGGGACAATGGAGTCTGGATAGATCAACATCGCAGAAATCGAGTTCATTTGTGATTCAGCCCCTTTCACCAGGCTTGTCATGCAAACTTCCTACTTTGATCAGCAGAGGGTGGAGGGGGAGAAGGGCCGCGGAGGCCCGGCCGCGGCGCGTCCGCGGCGCCCTTGGCGGGTCCCCGCCCCCTTCCGGAAGGAGCCGCGGGGACGCGGCATCCTGCACCTTGACCTGTCTAGACGCGCCCCGAGTTTTCGTGTCGGTTACCAAGGGCGAGGGGTGCTCTTTGACCCCCGCGCGGGGCGGAGGTGGTGGCCAGAGGGTCCTCCGAATCCTCGCCGGATCCCGGAGGGCGCCGGGCGCGCGGAGCCGGGCACCAGCTGTCCCCAGAGCCCGCGGCCGCGCCCGGGGCCGCCCTGCCCGCCCCTCTCCCCCGGCGCCCGCGGGCGTCAGCGCGGCGGCCGGGGACCCGCGCCCAGGACCCGCGCCCGGGGCGCAACTGTTGGCTCGGCCGAACTTGTCCGGGATGGAGGGGCGCGCTGCCTCGCCGGGTCTCCATCCCTCCCTGTCCCCGTCTTGTCCTCCCCAGGTTCCAGGTCTCCCTCGCTCTCTGCCGCGCGCTCTCGCTCCCTCCCTCTCCCTCTCTATTGCAAGTAAATAATCACAGCCGTTTTCTGTCCTCAGTGCCTTAGTCTGCATGTTCGGGGACTTTTAGAAATGATTACCTGTGTAAGTGCACTTTCTAGTTTGAGTATAGGGTTTTTTTCTGTCCACTTTCAAACATCCGCACTTTTTCAAAAGCACCATTTAAGCTAACTTCTTAAATTCTGTAAGTAGTACAATTGCATACGTATTATGTTAGGAGACTAACGCATGTTGGCGTTCATGGGGGTGGCGGGTGTTTCCATACGCCCTCATCGCGAGCTCTCTCGAACCCTGTGCACAGAAGGACAGCTTCCCTGCCCGTGTTGTCTTCACAGATCCCCTTAGCCCACTCGGAGGCTTTCCTAGCAGACCTGTTGGATGGAGTGTGTGAGCCGATGAACGACTACAAGCTGGAAGAAGACCCCGTGACCAAGGAGAAGGCATTTAAGAGACTTGCCCCAAGGAAAGGAGACAAAACATACAAAGAATTTTAAAAATTCTATTTTTATTCTGATGCTTACAGACCTCTGAAATTCGCGGTAAGCTCTCTTCCTGGCAGGTGAATCCTGGGCGCCATGAATACACTCTGGTTACTCTTTTTCGCTATTTGCTTGGGTTGTTGAGTTTCTAGACACTGAACATTAACATGTTATCTGTTTGCTTTGTTGTCTGTCCTGCTTTTTCAGTGTTGACCAGGCATTTAGGAACTCGCCAGTGAGACATCTAACGGGGCTCTTGAGACAGGAGACGTTTTCCAGAAAGTGCTGTTGCTGCTCCCAGGGACTTGGAGACACAGTTTGCATGTTTCTGTGCGGTGGGGCTCGGGGAGGGGTCCCTGTGGGTCCCCGTGGGTCCCCTGGCTGAGGCAGGTCTCTTCCAGGTTCCCACAGAAATAATCAGGGGTCATGGCTCCTAGGTTAAAATCCAAATTAAAATGAATGTCACTTTCAAATATTTATTGCCAAATGATGGAGGAAGAGTGACACACATCATCCTCCCCCCCCCCCCCATCACCACCAGGCTTCACAGAAGAGAGAGAATTTCTTTCCTGAGTTAATTCAAGTATTTTAGCACAAACTAAGTTAAACAAAGGCTTAGGTATGATAGCTGGCTTAATGCCAAACTTCCGTCCAGTATAGTGTTTATTTTAGATGAAGGCTGGCCTCTGGCTTGCTAGAATGTGCCTGGCAAAATATATTCCAATATATTTCACTTTACTTAACGCTGTTGAATCAGACAAACTAATGGGAAAGCCTGTTTAAAAAATGTATTAAGTTCACACACTGGCCAAAATGTCAGGCATGCTGAAACCCTGAAGTAAGGGCTTTACCTGACTTTTGAAGATTTCATTTTAATTAAAAAGTAAAGGCAATAATTCCAGGTTAAAAGCACCGTGGAAGAGAAATTGCAATGAGTGAGTGTGCTTGCATTTCACAGGTTTTAAATAAACACATTATAGTGGAATTTAAATATTTTTAAATGCCATTTAAAATTTTTAAAGTCTTGCTTAATGAACTTGGAAAATGATTTGCAAGTCTCCAGCGAATGCCCTTCTGCAGCTTCCCAGTTCCTGAAACTGTAACCCTGTGGGTCTCTAACACAGACCCATACTTCACTTAGAATTTAAGATATTTTTTTTAATGCCTGGGCAAATTTGGGCTGCCTCTTCTCTGAAAAGTTAGATTTGGGGGTAGAAGCAGAGTGAAATTATGAATGGATCTCTAAATGGTATGAAAGGAAACTTGCTTAAGTTAACTGTCAAGCATGTTATCCACAGTGTAATTGAGGATGCGTTTGTTTTTGATTGCTGAGAAAGCTTAATTGTTTTCACACTTCAGACTCTGTTTTAAAACCACAACATGGATTATTATGTTAAATCTGAGGGAACCGGGTTTAACCATTTCAAGGAGCTGTGTTCTTTAAAGGGTTCTAAAAAAAAAACAAAAACAGAAAGCTAAGACTTTTCAGCTCCACCTAGGAGACCCATTTCTTCCTAGTCCTCGCGTTCCAATTTAAGGAAAAGGAACAAATACAAAGAACTAGTTTCCTTCCTTACCCTCGTCTTTCAACACAACTAATCAGTTGGTTAGGTCCCAGGAAAATGATGCAGTTAACATTCTGGGGAGAGGGTTGATCCAATGCCATGGAGTCTTAAACCAAAGGGGCTAATAAAAACGGGCCACCTTGGCAACACGATTTTCTATTTTCAGCTAAGAAAATGTTGGTAAGTGCTTCTAACCAGACGTCCGGTGCGTGCGTGTCTTTCCACCTATGCTGTGATTCTGTTTCCACAGTGCAAAGCCATAATAGAAGAGCATGAAGACGAAATATTCTCACTTATCGCCCAGGAGGCACACCACCTCGCTGACAAGCTGTGCAGTAAAAAGGCAGGTACTGTGTCTGATGTAACATGTGTCCTCCGCGCGCCCACCCCCTCTCCCTCTGCACTGCACCAGCTTTTTTTTCAAACCGCGCCTTGCTGTCTCCCTGCCACCAACAGCTCTCCACTGACTCAGAAAGACACCAAGTGAGAGAAAACAAACAAACAGAACCACAGGGCTACCGGGCTCTCGGGTGGCACTTCCTTTCCTCTGCATTGTCGAGGAAGTCTAAAGGACTCGATTTCCAGATGTTAAGGAGCACATGCTCATCAGATTTGGATGGATCCAAAGCACTTTCTCTTTCTAAACTCCGAGAGCTGGGATTCTCCATCCTGGATCAGGAAGGAGAATCTCTTTATGACTTGCCTACACTGACAGAAGGTGGGACCTTTATTTAGTACGGGATTTTGAAAGTTGTTTTTCTTGTTTGTTTGCTGATTTGCGAGGGTGCTGGGTTTTTGTTTTTTTTTTTTCAAGTTTATTTCCCAGAAATCCACTTCTTCTTTAAAAAAATTTTCTTTTCTGGTAGAGGGTAGAAAATGATATTTGAGTCATATTCTTACATACACACTCACACACACACACACACACACACACACTCAGAAGCTAGAAAAAATTACCAGAACTTGATTTATACAAAGTTGAAACATGTTACCACCACTGGCCTTTCCACCTGTTTGGTGGAGTATGAACCTTCTAGGGGAGTGTCACTATAATGCTTATTTAATACACTTACTAGAATGTAGCGCAAGTTGTGCAGTCTTTTCCGATATCTTTGAGCAAATGAATGATACGTATGAAGACTGATTGAAAGTCCTGTGAATACTTTTATGCCCTTGCAGAAGCTTGAGACATTTAGCAATTGTTTATAATAAAGTATAATATACCTGCATCCAAAGTATCAAATTTTTAGTGCCAAAGTCCTTAAAATAATAGTTACTGCCCATTTGTAGATAAATATTCATGTCATCAAAGGTTATTAAACAAGAAAGTTATAAATCCACATTAATAGGAAAAAGTTTTCTTACTCTGAGTAGATAATGGGGTTGTTTTCTGCTTAAAATCCAGTTTGAAAAATAATAATAAAATCCAGTTTGGTTGGGAGTTTGAAGAAGAGTACAGTGGAATGATACAGTCAGGATTGTTCAGGAGTTTGAGAGCTTTTTCATGGAGTTCAGCTACGTAATGTTGCAATTTTGTGAAATTCACATCAATAAGTGCATAGCCACGATTTTCCGAAGAAAGTATTTTTGAAGTTTTTCAAACAATTCGGAGATATATGTATGCTTGAAGATACAAGCAAAAATATGATGACCGATCCTGAAAATACCTGTTTTCCTATTTTTTCCTCACAAAGGGTTTGGACTCGTCATAATCATCTTTGTATGGCAAATGCAACTAATTTGCTCTCTAGACACCTGTTCAGACTTACAGAAGGGCCTGAGAAAGTTTCACCAAGTCTTCACAACAGCCCTTGACCCAAATAATAAGTTCCTGGGGGGAAAGACTCTGTTCCTAAATGCAGCAGTTTGACTTAAGTTCAATAATACTGTCTTTTCACTCCTTTCGCGTATTTATAATTGGAGATAAAAATTAACGTGAACCCCGGGAAAACACGAACATAAGGGGGAAACCTAAGCTACATGCAGGACTGCTGGTGTAGAATAAAACATTAGACAATTAATTCTTAATAGCATTTGATTGCTTAAAAACTGGTTAAGTACTTATACTATAAACATAAACATCAGTGCCTCAGAACTCTTGAGAATGCAAGCCAGCCACCCCAGAGGGTAACCACAGTGCAGTGGAGAGTTTTTCCAGGCTGTGTTTCTCTGTGAAACCTATTTATGGATGTTCTAAACCACTCATAAATTAAAAACTGTGAGTACATTAATCCTAAAAAGAGGCTAGGCTCGCCCCCCCCACCGAGTCCCTACTGTTGAAATAAGGTAACACCCCATAACAATTTTTCAATAATTTTTTCAAACTTAAAAATTATTGCCAGAAAAGCCTAAAGCGCTACATCAATGAGAAAAATTGCACGCAATGACCACGGCAACAAAGAAGCAGTGTGTTTTAACATATTGGGATGGTTGCAGATTACCGTGTAAAAGGTGAGACGCTCACATTGTAGAAAAACTCGGGCGCTCTCCAACGTAATGTATATACAAGGATAGCAGGTGTCCTGTCAGAGCATGGCGTCCGTGCTCTGTTTCATCGAGGTGATACTTTATCTTGTTCTATTGTCCAGCAACTTTGCTATGATTGATCGCCACGATTTAAAGATGTTTTGAAGATACAGCCGTGTGTGTGTCCTGGAGGCTCTGAACCCGCATTAACCAGTAACGCATCACCCAATGTCTACTGTATGCAAGACGCTCTACTGAGGTCTGCTAAAGGCTTTTAGGGAGATAACTTCTTTTAAATAGGTATTTCGAGAACTAGAGTCTTAATTGGAAAGTTAGTCCCTTTTTATACTTTATGTATATGTGTGTGTACGTGTGTGCATGCATTTGTTATATGTGTCTATATATGAATTCTGCTTTTTTCTCTTTACTGTAGATCATTTCAGTTTATTTTTTAGTAATTACATAAGGGCAGATGAGGGCACATTCACAGACTTTAAAAATTCAGCTTTTTTGAGGTATAATTGACATAAAATTGTAAGGGGTATAAAGTGTACAACGTGGTGATTTGATATGTGTGTTTGTTGTGAAAGAAGCCTCCCATCTACTTAATTAACACTGGACTCTTTAAGTATTAGGATTCTACAGTGTACCCCTTACCCATAAACATATAAATGGGGAGTGATGGAGAAAACATCTGTTACACTCAAGATGACCGTTTGGATTTAAAAATAACACATCAGTGGGATTTTCACGAACATTATGTGCCACCTTTTGAATCAGTAAAGAAAACCTCAGTGAAAGACGATAGGATTGCAGATGGGTCTGTGGATGTCCCTGCAGCTTTATTCACTGCATAAAATAAAAGTTTATCAAATACATCCTGTTCTTGGGGTGTGAGACAGAGTAATAGGGCTACCCCCTATGTAATCTGTTGTTGTTTTTTTTTTCCCTAGGCAAAAAAAAGAAAAGTGAGCTCATTAGATTTTCCTGATGGAATATTTTGTGGCACATGACCCAGGCTTTGCCAGATTGTCATTTTAATGTCCTGAAATCAAAATGATGTTTTAAAATCTTAATAAGATACCAGGTCGTGATAAAAAGTGTAGCTATATTCCACTGATGGTAGAGAACATAACACTCTAGATCATGGATGAATGGATGTTCTGAGGTCTATGGGGGTATTCATTAGCTAGAGTGTGAGGGTACAGATGGAAAGACAGAAATGTCTTCTGGATACACGTCACTTCTGCTTTGATAGTAAATCTTCACATTTAAACCATTAGACTGATGAATCTGTCACATGGTCATTTTGAACGCAACACAGGGAATAAGGTACCAAGTATCTTGAAATGTTTAGCCTGCATTTAAAGGAAAAGCATTTTTACCTTTTTGTGTAGCCTTCCCAACACTAATGGTGGTATTGAATTCTCATATGCCAAATGGTTACTTTCAAAGGCTGGTATATTTCCTGTTTCAAATAGACGATGTACTTAAAAGAACCCGTAGCCTTGCTAAAGAGAGCTGGCATTCATTGCTTCTAGTTGGAAAAGTAGTGCGCGTCAGAGCATCCCCTTGCCTCTCTGCTCCTTGGATTAGATGCCAAGCGTGCTGTGCCCTCATTTAAAGCGTTTCTTAAATACTCCCAAGGCCATGGGCAAAATGGTACGATCCCTGGGCTTTGGTTTTTAAGTATTCCAGGAAAAAATGCTGGAGGATGGAACAAGAATAGCAGAGCACTGACAGGTGTTGAGGCCAGGTTTGGGGTCAAGGGGAGTAGATTATACCCTTTTTTTCTGCTTTTGTGTGTATTTGAAAATTTCCACAGTGAAAAAGGTTTTAGAATGTGTTTCCATAAAAATGTGGTTTTTTTGCAGAAAGCTAGTGACTCACACGCTGTGGTTAAATGTGAGTGTGATGCCGTATAACTTTTTTTCCCAGATCTCTGTGAAACCTCTGCTAAGCAAACTGAGCTCTAGGATACCGGTGTTACCAGGTAGTGGGGAGGAGAGCCACGGCCCACAGGTCAACGTCTGCGCTCATATCTTTATGTTTCTTCACGAAAAGAAAGGCTATGTCTCTCGTTTATACCCTGTTGTCTCATGTAGGACATTTTATTGAAAATCTGTTGTTTGGCATCATGACAAACCTGGTTCTTTCTACAGGGGAGGCTGGGGAGTGCATAAAACAAATTACCTTTGTGGATTTTGGTACAGACAGGGCTGGGAGTAAAGCATTTAATTTGGTAATAAGAAAAAAGTGAAACCATTTTAGGATTTGATAATGCATACTGTATATTTTATGCATGTCTACAAGTATCCTGTTCTATGTGATAAGAACTTGATTTGATTTCTTAAATACTTGATTGGTCATGAAATTAAGAAAATATGTTGCCACAAATTCCAGATTATGTCTCTGGGATATATATGGTGATCAATAAAAGAAACAAACTTACTTTAGATCAGGAATGAAAATCAAATTTCCAGCTTTAAACCCTAAGTTTAAAAACTTTTTAATCTCTAAAATGTAATTGAATGTGTAAAAAATAATGAATATTTTTATAGCGAGCAATACAGTGGCCTTCTCCCGCAGACCTTCTGAATTGAGATGATTCAGAGAGTCGATTTTTTATTACATTGTATATTCTTCAAAGATGACACCAATGACCATGTTTTGTTTTGCTGCAAGCTCTATTGTGTGTGTGTGGTTTTTGAAAGACTTCAGCTAACAGCATGTATATTTTGCTACTAACTAACCTATTATTCTCCCAATTTGGGTGTTTTCATTGGTGTGGAGATGAAGGGGAGGTGGGACCCTATGAGAAATTACCTATTGACCACACTTAATACCAGAACATAGTAATCATATTGCTCTTGGATATTTCATTGTCTCTGTTAAATTTACATTCAGTGGTATCTGACTTTAATTATTTAACATGTCAGAGCATATTCTACACACTTCTCTTTAAAAAGAAATGCTCGTTGGTGGTGGTGAGAATTTACTAGCTAGGATGAGATAAATTCTGCCCCCAAAGAGCAAAAACCATCTTGCCATGTGTTCCATCATTTCCTAGAAAACACTGAGCTGAGACTTTAGGGAGGAGATAGTTCTGAAACTTAGCAACATTTACCAAAATTAAGAGGAAGCAGTTTCCACTTTTCTCCTTCCACCCCGCTTCTTACTGGAAGTCAGATTTTTAAATTCATGTCACTTGTTTATTTAGGGAAACGGAAAGGCACGTGATGTCTGGACACATCTATAGTTGGGTAACGAGGACAGACCCTATGTACTGTAGCCCAGGAAACCTGCACTGATAGAAGATGGAAATAGGATTTCAGAATAATTAGCACCATTTTTCAGTCAGGTAGTAAAGTTGTGATTTACAACACAGTCCCTACATCTTTATGTAAACCTGTCTATCTAAGATGAGTTCAGCATTTCGAATAACGCCGAGTCATGAACCTCCCCTGAACTTGGGCTTCCTCCCTACGTGCGCTGCCCAGGAACCTGATTCCTTCACGAGAACATGGCCGAGGCCGTGGCTGGCAGGTGCCCCTGGAGCTGGACATCTGTGACTGTGGAAGTCTGACCTCAGGCTTCCCAGATTCTCACTGGTAACTGTTACAAATTCTCAGATGCGGACACTGCTAATGCTGAGGATACACTATACAAGAATGTGGGCTCCTGCTTAACAACCTAAGTGAACATGAGGACTCCGCCTTCCTTCCCCCATGGAAGTTTCTCACGGATGGTGATGCACTTGCTTTGACTGGAGCGAACTACACGTCTTGCCTCTAATAGTGAACATCGAAGGTTTCGCCGAATATGGCTTTTCAGTTGTTTCTTATTTCCCAGGAAAAATAGTCTTGTCTCTTCCAAGATTTTTGGTAGCTCATGACTTATTGACTTTTTCTTTCCAGGAATTTGTTTCCAGCGCAAACTTGTTAAACTCATGTAAATATTGCAGCTTACTGAGTTACTGATTAAATGTATGTTTGAGGGATAGACACAAACCACTGCATTTCTTACGGCTGCAAATATTCGGGAGTTTCCCTGTAGGGCACAGTCAGGCTGTGCACTTTTGCTAATGAGCAATAATGAGACAGAGTAGTTGCTCGCTTTAGCGTCCCTCTGAGTCACAGCCCTGCCTTCTTAATGACGTTTATCGACCAAAACCAAAACAAAGCAAAAAGCCTGGGAAAAATAAAAAAGGCAGCACCCAGAGTATGGCACAAAAGTTTCTCAGAGTCGATGAAAAGCAACCTAATTCTGTGTCAGAAAATTCCTTGGAGTTAAAAGGCGGGGGGGGGGGGTGATGCTCATTAAAATAACGGGGAGAGTAGACACGTTTGGGGCAAGTGGTTTTAAGTTGTGCTTTTATGAGACAGGCTCTTTGGATCTCCCTGGAAGACTCGGGGAACCTGCTCTTATAAAAAGAAACCAAATTAGCTGAGATGCACTGTTTATATTTTGTTATGTGGATTACTACTTGCTAAGAATAAGCCAAGACCAATGAATCCATTCCACCGAGGAGTGGAAAGTGGAATTGAGCCAAAGTCCCAAATGGCAGAGATCAATACTTTATTTACTAAGACAAGCCCTAAAAAAATAGAGTCAATAGCTGGTTATATTTGTTCTATCTATTTCTCTGCTTGGGTTAATATTTATTCATATATGTAATGGCTTTATCTAAATAAAAAATTTTAAACTATCACTCTTAAAATTCAGATTATAATGGAATATGAGAAAAAGCCATTCTTTGATGTGATTTTGTGGCCTGTTTTAAGATTTGATACAAATTTTTGAGCTAATCTTAAATGAGTTAATCTTAAATCTCGAAGCCCACACAATAGCATATTGCATAGTTTTATACCAAAATGCAATTAGCAATGATATTAAATTGTCACAATACCTGTTAGATACAAGTGTGTGTTTTATTATGATTTTCTGCCTATAACTTACTGCCCCTTTATACATTTCCTAAATTCCTCAGATTGTTTGCCTATATGTATAGCAAGGAACTAAATAGATAAAAGACCAAATGAAATAAGTGAAATTAAAATATGGAATCATAGACATTCATTGCCCTTAAGTTACCTAGGATAAGATGCAGCAGATGACAATGTCCTCTTCCTAGTACTTGCTGCCTCTGGCCCTGAACGTGTATTTGCTGAGGGGGAACAGCCCACTGGTTTTATCCATTTTCAGGACCTGCCCTTCTTGGAGATGGTGATTAAAGTTAATGTACTATGAGCTCATTTGTCTGTAAGGACATTACCTGAAAAATCCGGTTTGGCTTCCTAAGGACAGTTTATGACGTGGAGTCTGAGCCATCAGAAAGAGTTCTCCGCCTTTCTCGATTCTCGGAGAGCTCAGGAGACAGGTGGGAGGATGGGAACACAGGTGCACACACACAAACCCACACCCATAGATAGAAACGCAGTCTGGACACAGGGAAGTCAGCTGAAGCTGGGATTGCTCCAAGGTGGAGATCTCCGAGGAAAACGTGTCTGGAAATTTCTGTAATTCCTTAAGGAAAAAAAAAAAATCATCCCTGTGCTCCTTAATCTTGATTTTCAAGATTTTCAAGAAAGAAAAAAAAATACCCTAAATTATAACACATAGAGAAAATAGTCTACCTCACAACAGCAAGACATTTACAAAACACATTCCATCTGTTAAGAAGTTCTTGGAGGGGCACCTGGGTGGCTCAGTCGGTTGAGCGTCTGCCTTCGGCTAGGGTCGTGATCCCGGGGTCCTGGGATCGAGCCCCGCATCGGGCTCCCTGCCCAGCGGGAAGCCTGCTTCTCCCTCTCCCACTCTCCCTGCTTGCGTTCCCTCTCTCGCTGTGTCTCTCTCTGTCAAATAAATAAACAAAATCTTAAAAAAAAAAGAAGAAGTTCTTGGAAAACAACAAGCTTTGAGACTGTGCTGGAAATATATCAGAATTATATTGTGATATGGCTCGTTATTATGGAACACAGATTTTATTTGACCAGCCATGGGTCAAAACGGTATCCCCCAAAACATAATGGCACAAAGTAGAAGCCAATACAGAGAGGTGAGCAATTAAATAGGCCAGAGAGCGCTGAGTTCCCTCAAACCACAGTGTGGGCGAGAGCTGCCTGCACACTTGGCTGAGCCATGATACAACTCGGATGCGCACATGCCTTCCCTTGGAACAGACAGAGGCTCCAGGAACTTCCTCCTCCTTTCGGGGATGTTAATAAACCAGTATCTAAGGAATGCAAGTTACATAATGGAACGTTGGATGCCCAATGTCAGCTAATTAAGCATGGCCGAGACTCGGAAAGATCCTGTAAGTGATAAGTTAAAATATTAATACCAATTTCAAACTTCGTGAATAGCGAGGTTGGCACTTGAAGAGTTAGAATGTACTCCTGACATTTTATATTAAGGGTTTGCCTCAAAGCTGCTTTCTGAACAAGTGGGAATTTCTCTACAGCACATTCTCTGATATTAGCCGAGAAAGGCTGATGATAATCCTTGAGGTGACACCATTGTCAACAGAGAGAGAGAAGATTTCAATCAGGTGATTTTCATTGTCTGATAGAAATGATCTTTATGGCTTTGTTGTTCTTCATCAAAGGGCGCTGATTAAGCACCTTCATGCCCTGTGGTTTGTAGAAGAAAGCAGAGAACCAAAAAATAGACTATTTGGCCCCCATTAAAAATGGACCCTATTTAAAGCAACGTGGTATTAAAACAGAGCCAAGTCTAATACAAATGCAGATTCAATAAGTGTTATTAAATTATTAGACCTTAAGGTAAAAATATACCCTTGAACTGCCTTTATATGCAATCAGAGCTGTGATTAAATTTTAATGCCCTAAGATTAAATGGCCACTTGAGTGGGGGTTTTTTGTGTTTCGTTTTTTGGGGTTTGTTTCTTTGTTGTTGTTATTTTGTTTTGCTTTTTAGCAATACCCCAAATGGTGAACAGGAGATATTGTGAATT